ACAGTCCCCGGTTGCCAAGACAGCTTGTAGAAGGGCATGCATGAGTAACTGGCAAAATTAGGCCTCTAGGGAGTCAGGAGCATTCACTGTCAGCCTCAGGAGCCAAGTTCCTGCCAAAAAAGCATTCAAAACAAGCAGGCTTCGCTTTGAGGTGGAGAAAAAAACCAACTCACTGGCAGAGACAGGATAGCAAAAGTATGCCACTTATTGTCATTTGCCTAAAGGCATCAATGAAATAATACTCACACTCAAAAACTGTCTTACAAAACAAGAGAAGCAGCCTCTCGACATTAAATAACAGCATCTATTCTATACACTCTGAGCACCTTGAGTTCACTTTACTTTCTGTCCTTGAGGATTTGGGGAGGAAAGAGGACAAGACAAGACAACTGAGACAGTTCAAGCTAGGAAGATTCCATGGCAGTTCTATGGAGCATTTCCCCAGAACTCACTGAGAGCAGAGGGACAAAGCTCCAATGCATTATTTAAGACCACTCTGACACTACTGACCCTTTGTAGACGCAGATCAATAGAGCAGCCTCAGCCAGAAAGAGACTTTCATATGAAGAAACCTGAAATAGAACTCATATTAGAGATGCTGAGAGGAAATAACACAGCCCAAGGGAATATTTGCATGCCATGGTACAATAAGGCAGTTTTTGAGGGATCAGCAGATGGCAATGGAAAGAGAAGAGCAATTCACAACTTCCCAGCTTCTTCATAGCACTCAGTCACCTCTAGGGCATAAAGCTCTGGCACAGAATCACCTCATCGACAGTCCATCACACACTCACTTCCATGCACAGTCACAGAGTCATATTTCATTAAATACTCCTTTTCTGTATTAAAATCCATTTCACAACACTGATTCTCCTTTATGCCTTGCCTTACCCTGGTACCCACAAGCCACCACTGACTGCCTGGCCCAGTACCAGGTGAGGATCAGGAGGAGTGCTCACCTTGGCTGGCTTCCTGTTCACTTTGCTACACAAGCTCAGGTTACTTCTCTGAACCATCTTCCCTTCATATTCCTGCTGGAAATCCAGCTGGGACACCTGGGAGGTTGGGATTGCCTTGGAGCTCTTCTGTACAGTGCCTGGTGCAGTACCTGATCAAAACATTCAGGGTTTTTTTTTTGCTCAAGGTGCATTGAGCTGTGTATTTACCTGCTCATAAGAACTTTTTGGAGCAACTGGCAGATATTTTGTTTATCAAGAGAGAAAATGTATTCTTGAAGGTTTGGTGACATGCTGTGTATATAAATATTTTTGTGTGTGCATGCCTAGAAGCAGAGGGAGATGACTGATGGATAGACAGTTCATGAGAGAGTCACAACTCATTTCTCTGTGTAGGTACATGTACATAAATACAACATTCTCAGGCTCCCTAAGACAGACTGCAGCTTCTGAATGTTAAAATATATCAATACATAGGACAGTTAACTAGTACAAAGCAGTAATCTTCTCTTTCATTTGCCCTTTTTCTTCAGAGGTATTTTTCCTTATTGCTTGCACACCACTGCCTTTGTAGTTTGATTACAGATTACAGCTACACATGTAATAATAAAAATTACAACAAAGCCGAGCCTATTTCATCTACAGGACGATAATCACAGGGTGTGTATTTCTGGCACATTGCAAAACATTGGAAATCCCTGGCCAGGTGTCATCAAGTGGAATGCAAAATATTTACCCAAGAGGTGTACTTTTAAACCAGCTGACTAAATGTCTGATTTCTTCAAATGCTCTTTCTGCTGGAAGCTTTCCCAGGAGCTGTTTTCTGCTTTCTGACCTGATGGGGAAGTGACCAACTGCACAGTGTGAGAATGCTGGAAGTCAGGAGGCTGTAGCTAACCATTCATGAGCAACTGAGGACTGAAACCTGTCTGAAGAGCTAACAGGGAAAATTATCTGTGAATGCTAACTAACTTCCCAGCCATGATGGCCATATACCAACCCAGATAAAAGAAAACTGGACCCATAGTTCTATGGAACCAGAACCATTTGCATGGTCTTCTCTTGCTGTGACCACTGACATCAAGGTCTCCTGTTAGGTTTTCATTCTTAATCTTATTTTAGATAATTCAGTGGCCTTCAGAAAAGGCCATTCACTGTCCCTTTATTCCCCCAACCATAAAAAAGCGACAAAAATAAGTAGGACTGGGTGTGGTAACTAAGTGTATGAGGAGAAGGAGTAAGAGGAAGGAACTTACAACCCTCTTCATCCTATTTCATCCCTTGCCCACCCTCTGTGCCTGACCAGTCTGTACATAAATACATCTGCCTTTGCTGGTAATTCAGCTCTTCTTATGTGCATCTGGATAGTTATTATCAAGGCAGTCATATTCCTGAACAGGAATAATCATCAGCCAAATCAGCATCTGGAGACTGCATTTTCATCAGACTTCTACTTACTACCAATTATCACATGCAAAAACCTTTTGCTGGAGTTCTCCCCCCTGAAGAACAAGATTATTCAGTGGAGACAGGCTAAGGAGTTTTCAGGTTATGTTGTGTTGTGCACAAATATTACAAACAAAATATCAAAGATAAATGTGCCTGTGTTCATATTGATCCTGTTTCCAAACAAATCTCCTGTTTGAGCCTTTCTTCTTGTGCCCACTAAATCCCCTCAGATAACAGTAGTTGTACCTACAGGTCAGTCTGAGCTGACTTATACCAAAGATGAAAGGTCAGCTTTTGCATTATCCATATGGCCCTTTTGCTGCCTCCTACCCATTTTTTCACCTGTGTATTTGCTTGATGCTCCATTGTTCTGGTTATGTGTGGAGCTGGAGGTCCAGCAGCAGCCAGGGGTGAGCTCCTGCTGTGTCATGTGCAGGTTTGTGGTATGGCTGGGAAAGTCTGGTCATCACAGGGCAACAGTCACAAAGCCAGGTCCATGAGGGAGGAAGGTTCTTTCCTGCAAGCAGGATTTTCAGGCACTGGGAACCTCTATTTCATCTTGCAGAGAGGGGTTTCTGATGCTGTCTAGAAATTACCCAGTGGAGCAATCACCTCTAAGAAAGGATTTCCTTTTTGTTTGCTGTGAAAAATAGAATTGGTCTGCCTCCTAATCCAGCTGTCGACACGAAACTGACAGTTGTACTTCTTATCAGAAAACTCAGATGTTGCTTTTCCCTTTATAGTTCAAGCACCTATATACCAGGTTTAAGACTTCAAAACATTAAAAAAAAATTCACTCCACTTCCTTTGTTTTCAATATCTCTTCGTCAAGCAATTCATCTTGTAGCATTTTAAAGAGAATCAATAAAAAAGGCAGCAAGGTTGCCTCATGCTTGCAAAGCTTTTGGTAGAAATATGTAGGTTAAATGGGACTTTTTATGAAGATTTATGCCTAGCAACTTAATGCCTTTACATTTATTTCCTCACATTTACTTCCAGCAGTTCTGCTGCTTTTTTATTACTGAAGATCTATGATATCAACAATCCCCCTCCTTCCTTTTAGATTTCTACTAATGACCACTAGCAATGGGATTTTGCAAGTCAAACAGTAATGTAAAAATTTCTGTCAAATCCATGGGATGTACTTCTGTGTTTTTACTACAGCTCAAAGGCAAAAATTTCCTGCTGTGTTTAATGTGTGTACTACATTGGCTAATTACGATACGATTCATGTAAAAAACCCACAAAATGAAACAAAGTATGGTTTAAAGCATACAAGCAGTAAACCTCCAGATCCTCACGTGCCTTGAAGGTCATTCCCTGCAGAGAGCAGAAAGCAACTAAGTAAGTGTAAAAGGCATTGTGAGTTCTTTTTCCTGTGCAGCAAATGAAGGAAAATACTGCTCATCAGAGAGCAACCATTTCCCTGAAGTCAATCTGAGTGACTAAACCATGTTTTTCCGATTTTAAAGGTTTCCCTTTAATGATCATCTGAGTCCTTGACTGCCTTAAGGAGCCTGACCCATTCTTATGCAGGTATTTTTTCTTGTAAACTGCATGGAAAAAAGCTTGAAGAAGTGTTTGTCGCTAATAAAAAAGGCATTGACTGCTTACAGAGGCTCTTTTTGAAGTTTTTGTGATAAATCACCTTGAATTGCAGCAGAGGCAAAAGAAGGAGTGAAGATTATCTTCCTCTGACATTATTCTCACCGTGTCAGTTACTCATTGTTTGCTTTTGGACTTACAAGTCCCTGCAACATCCAAGCTCTCCTCTGTATCCTGGACTTCAGCACTTCTGTTTTAAAATGGTCTTAAGTTATGTGCAGAAAATATGGAATCGGGTACACCTACACAGCAGTGAGAAGGATGAGGAGTGTAAGAAGAAGTAACAGGAAAGAGACTGAAACCTGACAAACAAATATGTTTCCTTACTTCAGTGAACATCATAGTGGGCTTTAGTCTCTGCTTGTAACACATATTCTAAATAAAAGCTGAAGCTAGAATAAGTTGAAACATACCAGAATCTCTTTTTACTTTGAGCTAGTAGTATAGTGCCACATCATCTGTATCTGGATGTGCCTTTTGCTTCCTCAGCTTAAGCTGCTGCTAAAATAGATTCAGATGACTCTACTTGCCTTTTGCCTTGTTCTTAACATATGTCATAAAGATGGATCAGTAGCACTGCTTAATTGACCATCAATACTGGTATACTTCATTGTAAATAACTCAAGTCAAATAGAAATGGTTTTTTGAGATACTTATTATGAATTTCTTCTAATTTATTTAGTACAACCCCAAAGTCCTTTAAGAGTTGTGATGAAAAAGCAGGATGCATAAGGATTATGATAATGGCTCAATACCTAAAATCCATTTGGTCTACAACTCATTTTAGATTCCTTTACCAATCCTTTGTTAACCTTTAGTCTTTTACACAGATGGAGGAAGGAGCTCAGAATGCAGAATAAGGAAGGAAGAGGTAGAAGGAAAACATTAAATATATCATCAGAGCCTGATAGACAATTGAAATCAGCAGGAGTGGGATGCATATGAAGAAGGGAGCATAAACACTAAGAAAGAACACTAACAGTAACAATGTGCAGAAAAAAAATCAGCTTATTGTTCCACTTTTGAAGAATGAATTTAATGCAAAGAAACTCTTTAGACAAGTACAGTGTATGACCAGACATACTTCTGCCATTATGAACATACACACCTATCTCTGTGTATGTGAGCATGCATATATGTATATAAATATGCACACATGTATGTATGTATGTCCACAGTTCCTTTGAAGCTCAGATTTAATGCAGCCCTTTTGAACAATCAATAATAACAAGACAATTAGGGGCTGAGTGGCCGTACATATACATATATGTTTAAAAGTAAATCTGCCAAATTACAAAAATTATGGGCATAAGTATCACAAGGATGAGTTAGCACAGAAATCAACAGCAGCTGGAGTCTAATCCTGCATCATTCCATCAAAGGCAGCTTTGCCAGTGATGCTCTGAGTGCAGGACTGGCATCCAGGCACAGCCCAGAGCACCCTTCCTTTGCTTTAAGTGGCAGAAGAAGGGGACACAGGTAACTGTGAATCCTCCCTCCACTGTCACAGACATTTGTTCCTCTTCCTGCCCCTTAAATTAGTGCCATATTTACCCACTTCTCACTGCAGTCTGGACTCTCAAATGGAGCTTACCCACATGCTTAGGTACTACATTACCCTCAGCAGTGTCCTACAAATACCTCCTGTGTGAGAATCTTTAAAATCAGAGGGTTTTGGGAAAGCTGCAAAAGGCAGGCCTCAAAGATAGCAGAACTGGAATTACAGCTAAGCAGTAGCCATAAGATTTGTCAGCAGCAAAATTATATAAGAAGTAGAAAAGTAAGGACAAATAGAACAATGGTCTGTGTATTAATGCTTGTCTAGAATAACTCCCTAAGCTGCAGAAAAGTATATCTAGCAATATATTAGAAAGTTCTAAGCTTAATAATAGAGCTCTGTGCATTGTGTTTTAAGACTTACAAGCAGTATTGTATTCGAAATAAGGAAACATTGTTTTAACCAAAGGTATGTGTGCTTATAGTGGTTGGACAGAACTACTGTAAATATGCTTTTGCTTTGTGTGATTGGTCAAAAAACTTTTAAAGTAAGTTGTAACATTAAGTTCTTTGTCTGCTGCCTGACATGTGAGCTGCTGGCATCTTCCCATTGTCATAACCATGTAATGAGACTGATGCTGGAAAACAAAACAGCTTGAGATGTGTTCCTTGGCAGTCCCGTCCTGTTGGTGATTTGTCCCCCAGCTGGCGATACTCCTGTACTTGCCTGCTGGCCTGAAGGAGGTCCCTTCCCCCTGGTGCCATTCCTGGCTGTTGCAGACACACTGTTACAGCTGGAGATGTGGCTCTAAAGCCTGGAGCTGCTCCTCGAAGTACAGCAGCTGATCCACTTCGAAGCAATCACTTGCCCTAGAAACCAGTTTCTCCAGACAGCGTCTGAGCTCCTCCTCACTGGCATTCTGCTGTCTCGCTTGCTTGAGGCAGCTGTACACTGCCTCAAATGCCTCCACTCCCAGCTTCCCAATGGCAGATCTGGGGAGAAATATTATACAAAAGGTCAAGCAAAAGGTAATTCATCTTATATAGTAACACAAACATTAACTAGTGCAGATTCCTTCTAAATGTTGTAGGTTTGATTAAGCACCTTGTTTGCCTGACAGGAAAAGGAACTAAAGTTTCCTGGCGAATTTCTCCATGAAATTTCTCAGTTGCTATACCAAGCCCAAGAATAAAAGCCTGGCCATAGGAAAGTCATGGGAAGCATGGCCATCTTCATTGTTACAATCCAAGAATCCTCTTCCTGCTGAGTCTGACACACTCTTTTATCTACAACAAGTCTGGTAAATGCACATGTATTACTGCTTCCAGATTTCATCAAAATCCAAAGAAGCAACCCAGTCAGCTGAACACCAGTGGCATGTTATGTGAGCACACTTTGTTATTCATTGCTTTATTTTAGCTTCTATCAAATACAAGAAAACCATTGTACAAGCTCAGTATGAGCTAACTTGACACTTTTTTCTTTTCTACAGTGCTCTCCTTTTATCAGAACACAAATCTGTAACTCAGTGACAAAACACACACAGCATCTTAATATTGATTTATAAAAAAGAACCATTTGAAAACTGTAAGACAATGAACAGCATTTCTTCCTCCTAAAGGAAAAACATCTTTCAGTTCATATATCACAGGTAATATAGAATTTTTCACTCAGTGGTGGCTTCATATTTTGATGAAAATACCAGGGTAATTTTCCTTCAGCGTTTCAGAGACTATCTGCCTGCTCTCCATGCTTCTGACAAAGGATTTGGTTTTTTTCACTAAACCTTTACATGTAACAGCAGTTGAGAGTTGGTTGTCATTTAGACAAAAAGGAAGGCAACCATGTGATATGGTGTCTGCAGTACCTGAGGCAGCAGGAGCTGGGACACCCTCAGCTTGTGGCTGTACCAAGGATGATCTATACAGGGGCAAAAAAGGGGATCACAGATGTCCCCTGGTGCCAGCATTAAGGCTTAGAACTTCAGTAAATGTGCACGTAGGTTCAGAGGGAGCAGGCACACTTCCCAGAGCAGTTTAAATAGTTAAACCTACCTCCCAACAACAACTTCACAAACTGCAGTTGTAGATTTTCCTGTTTTTTGTACTGATTTTTTTGTTACATGTCTAACATCAGGACAAGGTAAACTCTTCTCACACAATAGTATAATCAACCTAATGGTGTAGTTACCTTTTATCAGTGGTCATCCTGTTATTGCTGAGGAACAACATCATCATAATAAAATGTCAGCCAGTAAGAGTTCCATATTATGTGAGTTCCTCAATTCTTAGGAAGACATTGCAAAGAATTCTATTTTATTGCTTCTCAAACTTCTCCCATCTCACTTGCTCTTTGCTTCTCTAGCACCTCAATCAAGCCCAGGTGTGATCCCCCTTTGGCTTCAGGTCACCCCTCTGCTTGCTCCAGACACAGAGGTAGGTCAGGAACCTGGGGCAGAGAAAGCCAAGACCCAGGATCAGAACTCACAGGGCCAAGCTGGAATCTCTGCAGGTCTAGACCTGATTCAGTCCTGTTTCCTATAACTAGAAAGTAATGTTGTTCAGGAGAAAATAAAAACTATTGGAAATAATTAATTCTCAGACACTGGAAACCTAGGGATTGGATTACCACCGAAAGGTAAATGAAGATTTCTTTGACAAACAATGTACATTTCTTCACAAAACATTATCAAAAATATCACTATTTCTCCCCAACAGTTAAAAATCAATACATGAAAAGCCATCCTGATATTACTGCTACTTCATCAGTGCCTTTAATGACTCCTCTCTCCCTCTCAGACAATTATGTTCAATTTTTGGGTAGTTCTGTCTATTTAAAGATGAAAAATTAAGCAAATATATACCTTGGGAGTATTGCTTCTGCTAATAAATGTGACCTGCAGACTTGAGTCTTCTCTGTTCAGCTTGGCAGAGCATGCAAATCAGCCAATGTGTGCAATAGCTGATACAATAGAATTAAGGGGAAAACGTTCATGGGTTGAAAATTACAGGGTAGGTAACAAAAATTATAACCTGCTTTTACAAAAGAAGACATCAGGCTCTGTTTGGACTTGAGAGCTGCATTAATTTGACTCTACTACCACATCATGCATCACAGAGGCAGAAGTGTGGGATCTCAGAGAGTAAATGTCAGAGAGGTGTCACTGAGTTAATCTATGATCCTGATGGAGGGAGAGGGGAAAGCAATTCCTGGAAAGGGAGGTTTGTCCATTATGGTCCTGATCCTGTGCTAGGGGATACTTGTCCATCCATGTAAAATCCTAGAGATGCACAACTACAGATTGCTATTTCACATGAAATATGGGATACCTGCACTAACGTTTTAAAAAGAATTAAAGCCTTACCACCAAATGAGCTGTGAGAGCAAGTGCAGAACTCCCATTTACAGCCACATTTGGCCATCCATGTTTTCTGATTTACTGGCATTTACTCTCCTCATGCTATCCTATAGCTCAGTCACCTACAAACTCACTGTGAGTCATCATCTCATTTTCAGCCAAGATGACACGAGCGAAGGGGATACCTGACATCTGGGATTTCATTACTGTGAAAAATTATGGGCCAGACCTCCTTCCCACACTGGCCTAAATTGTTTTTCAGTGTGCCAAAATGCAAGGAATTACATTGGGCTCTACCAATCAAGGGTCTGGCTTTGGATGATGCTCAATAATGTGCTTAAATGTCGTATCTCAGATTGTTCTTTTCTTTCTTTGTTAGAGTTAGATGGAGGGATTCATGGAGCTCAACTTGCCTCACTCCTGGTGAGTGGTCCCAATGCTCCAGGCAGAGGAGACACAGGGCTGGAAGCATGCTGTGACCACCAAACCACTGGCTGCACAGCAGATATTGCCATTCTGGGGACACTGACATCCACATAAGCTGTGGCCTGAAAAAAAATTACTCTTGTTGCCAGCTCTTGTGCAGCACACAACACATGCCTGAGAAAATCAACTGCAACAAGACCCAAAGGCCACATTGATATCTGATTTGCGGATAATGATGGAGTGTGGACATAAAATAGAGACTTGGTTTTATCAAGGATAAGGCACTTCTGAGTATGCGAGATGCAGTAAAGAATGTCAGCAAAATCACAGGCACTGCTGGAGTTAGAGGGGAGCTAAATAGGAGCCTTGAGAACTGCAATTTTTAGACACAGGGTGCCTAAAACCATTCCAAGTCATTTAGTGGATCTGAATTTATCAGGCTATCTGGTGATTTGCAGTTGATTTTCTACGCATCAGTGCAAAATTACTAAAATTTGACAATATAATAATGTTGTGTTCTCAAGCTGGCTGAGGAAGTCGTAAATCTTTCCCTAGGTGAACAAAGAATTCCCTATTATTCCACTGGTCTTCATTTTGACTATTCTGGTGCTAGCTACATATTAACACCTCCTTTCTGGCTTGGAGATCAATTACAATAGACCTACCTTTATGCCACACTGACAAAAGCCACAAAACAAGATTAATGCTGAAGCTGTGCTCCTCCTTGGGCATTAGCAGCCAGGTTAATATCTCTCAACAACTTGTCATGACCTGCCTTGAAGGATAACTATGACACAAATCAGCAGCTAAGGGGTTTTTCAGCTTCTCACTTTCCAGTGTCATTTAGCATGATGGCAGCTATCATTAAAAGGTATCCTGGTCTCAGTGGTGCCTGCAGGGAGCTGCGTGTGGTCTGTGCAAGGAGAGGCTCTGCACAAGCCACTACTGAACACACCAGAGTAGTAACACCATGAAAGTCCCTCCAGCATCAGGCATCAGCACCTCTGCCATAACAGGCAACAAACACACTGCTCCTAAGACAAACACAGAAAATTCAGTTATTTCAAAATTCCAGTTACTCATGCCTACATCAAAGCAAACCTCAATAAAGAAACTTTCTGCACATGGAATACCCATTCCACTGAGCATTTATTTATCCTTTTGAATGCAGCCAGGCCACCTGCATCCACCACCAAAGAGCACATTGTAAAGTAGAGAGCAAATCTGTGTTGATTTTGGCTCATGGGGCACAAAAGCAAGTGCAGGGATCTTTGAAAGAAAAATTTCAGTAGATGCCTCTAAATTCTGTTCTTCCTAACTCAAAGAGCTAACCCCATAGAGTCCAGCCGTATTACTTAGGATTCTCATCAGCACATCAAAAATGATTTGTCCCTGAATTAATGCTATTTCCAAGCAACAATTTATTAACCCCATATTTCTCTTTAAAACAGTACAACCATGCCACTTAGCAGCTAACCAGTAGTGATAGGAATCTCAGCCAAAAAGATTGTTACATTTATCTCCTGAGATGACTTTGCAAAAGAATCAGGAAATTACATATCCTTAATCTCATACAAAATATTGTTTTCTAACTGTACCAGAAAATCTGAAGATATCTGCTACAGCATCTCATGGTTCAGTAAACAAACAGGTTTATCTCAGTTAGAACACAAAGGATCTCTGTCCTCTCGAGTTATCTTTCTGTCATTCTGTTTGCTGGCATTGCTGACTATGAATAATTAAAACTTTGAGACTTGAAAGAAATGGCTCTGGGTTCAAATCTTCATTTTCAGCATTACTTCTCTGTTGCTGTTTAAAGACCCCTTTAAACCCCAACAGAGATCTGCTAGGAGAAGGACATAATAAGTTCCATGATCCAAGCTTTAGGAACTTATTTATAAAGGTAGGGCAACTCTTTTCTAGTTCTGACAGCTGTTCAATCTTGGGACTGTGAAAAAAAAATAGCTAAGTCTAAGAAAAGGTCTTATAAAAAAAATTAAAAAGGCAATGGAAAGTATTATTATATAAAAGCTAGTAAGAAAAGAAATACAAATTACTAATATTAGCCTCCACCTTCACCTTCAAGCCTCAATGGACTTCGACTATTCTCATATTACTGCTGAATGAAAATTTCTTCACTTGAAAACACAATGATAATTTTCCTAATTCATCCTTAATTACTTTGTAATTCCTGAATTAAAGCACCTT